GGCTTGTAAGGTACGCTGTTGTGTTTAGGAGACTGGTAGCCATGAGAAGGGTTTAAGCGTGTCTTTTTTCCGCCACGTTTTTTTTTTTTTATTTTTTCGGCCCTCTTTATTCCTAGAGCACTTCCAGGTACTTAGAGAAGACATGCCTACATATATGGGACTAGCGCCGTGTGCCCATCACTACCAGGCGGGCCGCCACTATCAAATATAGGGGTGGGAGGTGATTTAAAGCGAAGGGGATGGGGTGCGCTTCTCCTGTTGAAGTGATACGTATGTGAGGCTTAAGAGTCTAAAATTTTCTTAAAATGCACAATGCAATAACATGAAATATGTAGAAGTAAACTGGCATAGACAAAATTCACGCATATGAGATGAGATACTGCAGTGGCGTGTACTTTTGCCGCCAGGACTCAGTGAGAAAGGATAATATAGATCAGACTGTGGGGACAACCCTTTGTGTTAAACACACTCAAAAACAGAAATTCAAAATGGTTTGGGCATCCTGTTAGTACATAACTGTATTTTCTATTACAGACGATACACATAAGCCGAGCTTATAAGAGAGCAAGAAAATATGCAAGAAGAAGATAAGGGCACACATTCAGAAAAGAATAACCCACAGCTTTTCCCCTCGCTAACTGTTTATGTAAAATGGATGAAATTTCACTGTTAATATAAATTATCATGTCCTTTACACATTATATGAGAAAGGTGAAGACAGGGATGTTTCGTGCAGAGTGGCAAGCTTCACTGAAAAGGTCACGGGTAGGAAGCATACTTTGGATCATTTCTCCAGGCTATGCCAGCGTGGTGGGTAATGAACAGACAGACAGATTAGCTAGATCTGCACCACTAGGTGGTGAATTGAGACATGACAAGGCAGGTGTGACCAAGGCCTGTTCGCAACAAGCAGAGGAATCAGTAGAGAAAGAAGATTATTATTGCCTGGAAAGAATGAGGCACCTGGGTATAACCAGTGATTCTGGCCGGCTTACTACACTCGGGGGAAAGGCAAGACGGACATATAACCAGATTGTGACCGGTACCATCAGTATTGGAACTCTACGTTGGCTGCTGAAGATGAGGACGGAATACATATACAACCAGATTTCGTCACGATTTATCCTGTTACAACATCAGACACAGTGCAGAAACGTTAATGAATGCTCGCCCACAATTTTTTGTTTTTTTTTTTTCCTTTTTCGAAACTATAAATTCTACAGTTCCTGTTTTGTTATACGCATGTCCGTATCATATATTTTAACGGATTAATGTATTTTGTTTTTAAAGAGGATTGGGTTGTCATTTAATATACAATATATAATATTGACATTATAAATATGAAGCGTGCAGAATTTTTAAGTTCCTATCTTCCTTGTTGGCTGCGATTTTTTTTTAAAGTAGGTGTCATTTCTAAATGCCCCTTTTAGACTGGCAACATTGAAAATATTATCATGTGCACGGAATAACAATAGCCAGAAAAAACATTAATTTACTTACCCTTACAAGATAAGTAAGAAAGTATCCTTTTAGATAAACTGTGGGAAGAACATCTTGTACCAAATTCAAGAAGGGGGAAACAGTTTAATGGTTTTATCATCTCGTTAAAATGCCGCCATAGAAACTACCAATACTGCCGTTATACAGGAAAAACAAGAGGATATCCTGGGACAAATGGACTGATGACATTAAAGAGTTTTTACATCAACAGGAAATGACAATAGCTGTTGCTAGCCTAATAGCGAAAACCGGCAAACTGATGATGATGATGGCAATGGTGATGATTTTGATGATGACGACGATGATGATGATGATAGCTTTATCCAGAGCAACCCATTAGAGGTATGACTACCCACTATTTCTGCCACCCTGCTTGACTACAAAAGTGGAAGATGCTGATGAGGGTGACGTTAACTCTTAACTTTTTTGTGACATTGGTATCTTTTGCAGTTTGCCATTGTCATTGTGGACGACATTCTCCCTGTAATGGTCGAGGACTCGTTGACAACATCACATCCGGTGTCGTCTAAAATCAACAACCCTGAGGAAATCAACCAGAGATTTGATGGTATCTCTTACAACAAGGTAACATTCAAGGCTTCATTTCATTTATCATATCATCGTTATCATCATAGTCATCGTTATAAGGAAGAGATGCCTTTGTATAATGTTCCTCTAATAACTTATTACTGTTGTTTTCGTTTATTTCTCTTCTTCCGCTTCTTCTTCTTTGTCTTTCTTCTTCTTCTTCTTCTTCTCTTCTTCTTCTTCTTCTTCTTCTTCTTCTTCTTCTTCTTCTTCTTCTTCTTCTTCTTCTTCTTCCGTTTCTTCTTCTTCTTCTTCTTCTTCTTTTTCTTCTTCTCCTCCTCCTCCTGTTTTTTCCTCCTCCTCCTCCCCTCTACCTTCATTCCCCCTCCAGTCATCTGACAGAAGCGTTGGAGGAAATGTAAAAATTCCATGTGTGCTCTTCCTTATCTATGGTTGTTCTTGACGTCGTCACACCGTCTCTTGCATAGTCTTACATTTTCTCTTTGCTCATTTAATTTCTTCAGTGTAGCCTTCTGCGACACTACCAAGGTATTCCCGTCAGATGGATATTCACATTATTAGATTTAAACCATTTTCTTTCCATAAATCATTTTCTTTCCATAAACCATTTTCTTTCCATAAATCATTTTCTTTCCATAAATCATTTTCTTTCCATAAACAATTTTCTTTCCATAAACCATTTTCTTTCCATAAACCATTTTCTTTTCAGGGAATAGCTGTAATGACAGTACTAAGGCATTGCCGTCAGATGGCTTTAAACATTAGTGGGTTTAAACGATTTATTTTCTTTCCAGGGCATGGCGGTGCTCAGGATGATGATGGATTTTGCGGGAGAGGAGAACTTCAGAACAGGCCTGCGAATGTACATCGACAGGTACAAGTTCAAGAACGCAGACATGACCCAGCTATGGGCCGTCTTTAGTGAGGTACTTATTTATAGTTTTGCTCATTAGTTGCGTGTGACCTGTTCTGTTGTGTGAGTACATATGATGTGTGTGACCTATTCTGTTGTGTGAGTACATTTGATGTGTGTGACCTGTTCTGTTGTGTGAGTACATATGATGTGTGTGACCTGTTTTGTTGTGTGAGTACATATGTTGTGTGTGACCTGTTCTGTTGTGTGAGTACATATGATGTGTGTGACCTGTTCTGTTATGTGAGTACATATGTTGTGTGTGACCTGTTCTGTTGTGTGAGTACATATGTTGCGTGTGACCTGTTCTGTTGTGTGAGTACATATGATATGTGTGACCTGTTCTGTTGTGTGAGTACATATGTTGTGTGTGACCTGTTCTGTTGTGTGAGTACATATGATATGTGTGACCTGTTCTGTTGTGTGAGTACATATGATATGTGTGACCTATTCTGTTGTGTGAGTACATTTGATGTGTGTCACCTGTTCTGTTATGTGAGTACATATGATATGTGTGACCTATTCTGTTGTGTGAGTACATATGATGTGTGTGACCTGTTCTGTTGTGTGAGTACATATGTTGTGTGTGACCTGTTCTGTTGTGTGAGTACATATGATATGTGTGACCTGTTCTGTTGTGTGAGTGCATATGATGTGTGTGACCTGTTCTGTTGTGTGAGTACATATGATGTGTGTGACCTGTTCTGTTGTGTGAGTGCATATGATGTGTGTGACCTGTTCTGTTGTGTGAGTACATATGATGTGTGTGACCTGTTCTGTTGTGTGAGTACATATGATGTGTGTGACCTGTTCTGTTGTGTGAGTACATATGTTGTGTGTGACCTGTTCTGTTGTGTGAGTACATATGATGTGTGAGACCTGTTCTGTAGTGTGAGTACATATGATGTCTGTGACCTGTTCTGTTGTGTGAGTACATATGATGTGTGTGACCTGTTCTGTTGTGTGAGTACATATGATGTGTGTGACCTGTTCTGTTGTGTGAGTACATATGATATGTGTGACCTGTTCTGTTGTGTGAGTGCATATGATATGTGTGACCTGTTCTGTTGTGTGAGTACATATGATGTGTGTGACCTGTTCTGTTGTGTGAGTACATATGATGTGTGTGACCTGTTCTGTTGTGTGAGTACACATAATGTGTGTGACCTGTTCTGTTGTGTGAGTGCATATGATGTGTGTGACCTGTTCTGTTGTGTGAGTACATATGATGTGTATGACCTGTTCTGTTGTGTGAGTACATATGATGTGTATGACCTATTCTGTTGTGTGAGTACATATGATGAGTGTGACCTATTCTGTTGTGTGAGTACATATGATGTGTGTGACCTGTTCTGTTGTGTGAGTACATATGATGTGTGTGACCTGTTCTGTTGTGTGAGTACATATGATGTGTGTGACCTGTTCTGTTGTGTGAGTACATATGATGTGCGTGACCTGTTCTGTAGTGTGAGTACATAGGATGAGCGGCGAGTGATGTCGTTGTGCCAAAGGTGGAAGATGTGAGAGTATCATTTGCGAGAAACATGTTGAGAATGTTGTGGAAAGATGAGGAAATGATTAGATGAATGTATGACTGTGTGCTCGATTGTATGAACGAATCGATGGATGGATGGATGGATGGGTGGATGGATTGAGGGATGAGTGTTTGGGTGGTTGGTTGGTTGTTTGGGTGGATGGATGGATGCATGTGTGGATGGATGGATGAATGGATGGATTAAGGAATTGGAAGAAATAAGTGAATGGAATAATGAAGAAATAATTGAATTAACTAATGAATCCAGAAATAATATAAAGCTGCGCTTGCGACATTCCCAAACTTGCTCGCTACACTTACTACCCAACGAAATGTTACATGTGTGCCAAGGTCATTTTTTGAAGAAAGCTCGGTTCAGACAGGACCCCTAGCCACTAGCTTCCGATCTGCTGGCGAGCGTCTAACTGCTACACCACGTCGACTCCTCTTTGCCCAGTACGCAGGCTAAATATAATTGTCCTTTTCTTGTGTATGTTATAACAGGCATTTAACTACACGTACGAAGTGGCTAAAATCATGGACACGTGGACACGACAGATGGGCTACCCTGTGGTCAGTTTCGAAGATAAAGGTGATACGTTTATGTTGCATCAAGAAGTCTTTCTACTGGACCAGAGCATGCACAAGGTCAAAGACAAGGAGGATAACCCGTTTGGGTAAGACAATGTTTTTCCTTTCTTGTATTTCCTGAATTTGGCTGTCTGTCTCTCTGTTTCTCTTCCGGATGCTGTCTGAGAAGTTTGACCATCTGTGCGTTCAAGGAGTTGCATTCTGGGTGGAAATCCAACTGGATCAATCCAAGAAACCCAGTTCAAATGCCTAGGACGTTATAATCAGGGCATTCTCGCAGCTACACACATATACATCATTAACTTCGTTGTTAAAGTAATAGTTAAAGTCGAGAGCACCATCTAGGTATTTATCTTTGCCTTTCTCTTGCTCTCTTACGATCAATCATGTCAGTTGTTACCAAGTTCTCGAGTCCACTCCTTCTCATAACATGTCCGAAAGATATTGGCTGTTTATGTCTAATTGTTCTAACAAGTTTACCACTTTCATATCTCTCGATGAGGACTGCTTTGTTTGCTCTTCTTTTCTTTCAGGATTTTCTTTGCATTTCTCTAGCTGAACTGTATCAAAATGTTCTGGCCAGATACAACCTTTTACACTAAACTGCTACAAGTCATAAATCAAAAAACTCTAGACAGTATGATTACCAAGAGAAGATGGAAATGGCTTGGCCACGTCATGAAAATGAATCCTGAGATACCTGTCAAAACAGCTCTCACTTGGACACAAGAGGGAAAGAGAAAGAAGGGATGCCCCAAAAACAAAACGTGGAGACGAACGATTGAAAGTGAACTTAGTGCTGCATCTCTGACATGGAAACCCGCACTGAAGATTGCGCAGGTTAGGAAGGCATGGGAAGTCCTCTCTAAGCCTCATGTGCCACTAGGCATAAAGATAACTGAGATGATGATGATTCTAGCTGAACACCCTATTTCCATTTGCATTTAAGCTGTAGTCTATTACTTTCGTAGCGCCTGTGGCTCAGGCGGTGCGAACCCGATAGGTAATGCCAGGGGGTCGGGTTTGATCCTATCTGCAGATGATTTGGCAACAGACCGACTACCGTTGATTACGACAGTGGTGTCAAGAGCTTACCATCCAGAAAGTAATGGCAAACTACTAGGCGTAAGTTTGCCTGGAAAATCCACAAAAGCCCCAAAAAATGCTGAAGCTGGTTCTGCAACGCCCTGCGAAGAATATACAAATAACTTTATTACTTTTAGTTTCCATCTGTTTATTTCGTTTGGCTTGAACCGATTAGAAAGCAATGGCAACGCCCTCAATGTAAAATTTCTTAGTAAAGCCCTGAAAGGCCACACACGCACACAAAATGTTTCGGTTGTGTTGAGGCGTTTGCAGATGATATGGTGAAAAGATATCAAACCTTGAGGGTTTTGTAGATGATATGGTGAAAAGATATCAAACCTTGAGGGTTTTGTAGATGATATGGTAAAAAGATATCAAACCTTGTGTAGCATGATGTCTTGCATAGCTACATGCTTCTCACGTGACTCTGTTTGTACAATAAGGTGTCTGGAAACAACTATTCTTGTCTATACTGTCTTTATTGTGATACTCCAACAATGTCACAAATAACATGAAATGGTATTCTGAATAGCGCTAAGTTATCTCTATGGCTAAATACTCGTAGGTTCGCGTTGTGTTCTTCATCTCTAGTTACTTTGTTAAACTGGTTCTAGTGTCTCTAACTGCCACCTGGCTTCTAGTACTGTTGGTACTAACGGCTTGATCGTCGACTCTAACATCTCTGTAGTGTTCCTAATGTGTCTCTGTTGACCATGGATCCATGTATATCTTGTGTGTCGTCTCTGTAGCTCGATGTCTCGTTTCACTTCTGCTCTTCAGTGACTGTCTTCTAGGTTCAATATGAACGGCTGCTCTGCTTCCAGTGTTGAGCTGGCATCAAGGATCATTGAGACTAGTCGCTCGTCCTCTGAGTCTCAACGACTGAAGGCTTCTAGTGTTGGGCTAACATCTCTACCACTGAAGGCTGTCTTGGGAGCCCATGTGACTGGTCTCTCCTCTCTCTCTCTCTCTCGAGTCTTGTGGACTGAAGAATTCCTAAAGTGCTTTGTTACTCGCTATTTATACTTGGATGCTGGAATGCTAGGTATTTGTTTTCTTCTCGCTTTGTCTGCTTCTAGAATATTCTAGTACACCTCAACTTGTTTACAAGGTAGGTTCTCACGTGGGATTGGCTAATTATATCTCGATTGCATCAGATTTCCATCATCATATTCTACACAAATATGGTAGTTAAACTGACAACTGAGGTCATAGAAGCTTCTAGAAAAACAAGTGCAATTGCGTTTGCTTTGATAGGGCACGACAACAAAGTATTTACTAGTACGACAGAGTTGGGTCATATGATGAAAAGAATGCATTTCAAAACTTCTAGAAAGAAGGCCAAGGCCAGACAATGACGTCAAGTACTATTTATAGATTGTACATTTGCAAAACATTTCTTTGTTAATAACAAACGAAGTTTCTAGAAAAGAATGTCAAGGCTGCCAAAACTTGTTGATTTCCTTATATCCTAGCTTTGTGTCTACTAACAAACAGGCTATGACCCACTCTGTTACACTTGAGAGGCCTTGTAGATGATATGGTTAAAAAAAATATCAAACCTTAAGACGTCTTGTAGATGAAATGGTGAAAAGATATCACATCTTGAGACGTCTTGTAGATGATATGGTGAAAAGATATCAAACCTTGAGACGTCTTGTAGATTATATGGCGAAAAGATATCAAACCTTGAGACGTCTTGTAGATAATACGGTAAAAAGATATCAAACCATATAAAAATTTTAACTAGTCAGGTACACACTATCACAAACACAAACGACAAGCGAACGTTGCAGCAAGGGAGCCTTCATCAGCACAGTATACGAATTTGCAATACCTTCTTTTTCTTTACAGTTCACTGATTGTAAGCTTCGGCGGAAAGTCCTGGTTGTTCGTCCATCTGGACTTTGATTTTGTGCCAGGCACTGAATTTTTCGTGTACATCCGTTTTACTGCTGATTTGTATGCAGCTGGTTGTTCCTTGTCGCTCAGGCAGATGTACTAAGGTTTCAAACGACATGTTTGTCAAGGAGGCAGTGGGTCTATTTTTGTTTTCCCCACAATGGGATCCCAAAACCCACACGTAAGAATGTAAAATAACAAAAAGTACGAACAGGAATACATAAAATCCCTTAACTTAAGCGCCTCCCAGTGAAATCCTCGTGTCTGGCCACTCAAATAGCTTGTCGTTTGTGTAAATTATAAGCAACAACTTTTTTTTTTCGTATTTTGCACTATTTAGACTAAAAGCTTTGCCTTGCTCTGAGGTGTTGAACAAAAGCTTTGCCTTGCTTTAAGGTGTTGAGCACAACAATGTATTAAAGAGAAAAAGAAATAAAAAATGAAACCTTTGAAATATATCGCCCACATAAACAGATTTAACACTCTCTTTAAACATTCCTGGATGGAAAAGTCAAAGGCAAGTGAATAAGAGGTAGACTACGATAAAAGTGGAAGTATAACATCAAAATATAAACAAACAGCAGGACATAGAGAACCTGGTAGATCCACTGTAGCCAACTTTGATGGTTAGACGGCACTTGAGTGATTGCAGTGTTGCTTGGTTAATGTATTTTAACTCTTTTCTATGTCTTAGGTACAAGTGGTACATTCCTTTCACATTCGTGACCCAGGATTCTCCAACACACAAGAGAACTGTATGGTTAAACCTTGGCTCAGGTATCTTGAGTGGTTGCTTGGAAAGGAGGGAAAAAGGGGGGGGGGGGGGGGTGGGTGTTGCATCTGACATTTTTTGGTCTGTTTTAATTAAACACCGAAGATAATATTTCACTTTGGCTCTGAATTTTTGTGGTCTGATTTAATTAAACACCGAAGATAAAATTTCACTTTGGCTCTGACGTTTTGTGGTCTGATTTAATTAAACACAGAATATAACATTTCACTTTGGCCTACTAAGGGTGAACCGTCACGTGTTGCTGACATAATATGGTCTGCCGTGCTGTTGCATATAAGATACGAAAATTTGTGTACAGATTGTGAATCCCTTGGCATTGTAATCACAACTATGCAGATAAGCAGACAAAAGGCGTATGGCCTTGTTAATACAATGGGTATACAAATAATTTGTTAACGTTTTAAAGTCTAGAACATCGACCTTTTGCGCAGAGCATATTCCACATGACTCAGTCTCTCTGAGTAGACCCGGCTCTCTAGCTTCGTTGGCTAAACTGGACTGCGCGGTCACCGGGTGATGAACTTCTTGTGGTCCGGGTTCACTCCCCGGGGGTAGGCAGAAAAGCCACATTTTCTTCCAGATTTACCGTACCTGTAATGGAATCAAGGCCGAAGGGTTGCGATATCCATAGTACCGAGCCAAAGGATTACCAACTCATGGTTTCTGGATATTTCAACAACAACAACTATGAGTAGACCAATTAGACGCCCGCAAGAGGTAACACAAGAAGCTCCACATTTCCAGCAGTGATCTCCGAAGATCACTAAAAAATTGCCCTTGTGAGCCAGGCGGTTTGTGATGCGAAACACGACCTTCAAAGCGAGAGGCGAACTGCTTGAGGTCCTCGATTGCTACTGGTAACCAGCATAACCGACATGGGATACAACATAAGTAATCACATCAATGTCAAAATGGTGAGAACTGACATTATTCATCAGACAGTATACTGATGTAAAATATTGACCACACACAAAACTACCAAAAATTTTTGCATTGTTCTAAAAGTTTCGGGCCGAGAAGCGCATTTAGAGTTCTTCCTAGTAACAACGCAGTTTGAGATTCGAACAACGGATCAACATCACGGTACACGGGTAGTAACCCATAAGTTCTCCGTTCTTCTTCTAACTCAAGTCTGAGTCCGAAGAAACTCAGAACAGCGCACAGGTTCTGAAGCACCGGCGAGGATCCTGAAATACTTTGGGTAGATTTTGAACTCAACATTTTTGCTCGGGCAGCGCCGTTAGGCTACTCTTTTCGATTTCCAACTGCCAAGGGATTTTTCTACACATTAACACTATCTATTGTCTGGAAAGGCATCAGTAGATTTCCTCAAAGAAATCAGATCCAAAAAAAGAAACTGATTTTTAGCATCATCACGTCGCTCTCATAACGGTCCGCCTAAAAGAAACTGGGTCTCTCTCCAGCTCTCGTGTACTTTCATATTCATGGAGTCACTTATATAATATGCCCATCTTTGTGTTGGCTGGATCCTGCCCCTCCTTCCTGACACCGTGCCTTATACTATTATTTTTTTTTCAAATCCACCATGGCGCTTGGTATGACCAAAATATTTCAGCCTCAATTAGTGGCATCAGACAAGAAAATCAATATTCTTTAGGTACGTTGTGATAACAGGAACGATATCTGATTATAGAGATTTTCTTTGTGATAAAGCGAACGTGGTAAAGGCACTTTAGGATCGAGGGACAGTCCAACAGAACAAACTGAGTATGCATCCCTAGAAAGACTGATACAGCGGGGAGTTAGTTTTATTTCCCAGGACATTTCCTGGTACGCGTTTTAGGCTGGGCAGTGCATAATGAGCTGCTGAATTTTTCTTTTACATTTAACCTTAGTAGACTAAGGAAACCAGATTAAATACAGCCAGGTAGGCAAACAGACAGAGACATCCATAGATAAAGAGAAAATCACAGACAGACAGATGACATACAGACACCTAAACAGAAGACATACATTTATAGACGATACAGATAGACAGAAAGATAGACTGACGAACCGACCCACCGACTGACCGACAGTTAAGGAAGATATGGAAGATATTTAATACTAAAGGGAAAACATCGGTGGACTTTCAATTGGATTGCAACAAGTACTATTAAAGAAGAAAAAGCATATCGACTCTTAGCTGATACTGACGGAGCAGCATGTATGGGAGAGTCCAGATAGAAGTTATGTCAATTCTAGATTCATTCATTCATTCATTCATTTAGATGAGTACGTTGGAGAGGCATAGACGTAACGGAGATCAAGATGGATAATAAAGGACAGTTTAAAACTATAGCATTAATGAAAGTCTATATAAGAAATTTAAAAGCTATGGCATTGGAGGACGTCTGCACCAGAAATGACTGATATTACACTAGACAGAGAGTAGTGCACAAACGTGATTATTATATAGGGTAGTAATAGGTCTTGAACAAGTAACTATTGATGTGTCTTCTCCGCAGCTTCCCTCCCCAAGCCTTCCAGAGGCTGGTTGCTTGGCAACTATGAGATGGTGGGTTTCTATAAGGTGAAATATGACCGGAATATGTGGGGACTACTAGCAGACCAGCTTATGAAAAACCATACGGTAAGATGATAGTGGTCACGTGGATGATGATGTACTTGGCTTTTGTTGATGACGATAATGATCATTATGATGATAATATGATGATAATGACGGCTTTTGATGATGATACAAATTTAAAAACCATATGTCAGCTTCACAGAACCAATAAGAGAATTTGAAGGTCGTTACTGTAGTTTTCAACAACAAAGGACTAGAAAAAACACAACAATCATCAGGTGACTCTGAAATAACTAGATTAATCATCATCATATGCTCTGCTAACTGGCGTAGGCGATCATGCATCTCAACAGATCACGATTCTTGGTTGCCTGGAACAGCTCTCTCGAGAATATGCCTCGATGCCATCGTTTTAGCCCATCCAGCATCATCTATCTTGATCTGCCTCTATATCTCTTTCTACTGCTCTTTCCTGTTGGCATGATACTTTCCAATGCCCTTTTTTTTCATTACGTGGCCAAAAAACAGTGTTTGTCTCCTTCTTGTTGTTGTATATAAAATTCTACTTTCATTAGCTTCTTTCAAACTTTCGTTGTTAATTACTCTGGCCGTCCAGAGTATTCGTCTATGTTGCCTCCAGATTTTCCTTAATTTGTTCACTGACATTCCAAGATTCGCTGCCATACAACAGAACAGGTTCTGTGTAACATATTAGCACTCTCTTTTTGACATTAAATGAGAGAGACTTATTGGATATGATTTTTTTTTTCTCATTTTTTTTTTTAAATGCTGCCTTCGCTTGATATATTCTGCTTTTAATCTGTGTCACATATTTTCATCTGATGATATGACTGTTCCCAGAGATTTGAATTTATTCACTTGGTTGGGTCTTTTTTCCTTCAACTGAGATATCACAATGTGGTGTAATCTTCTTCTTTATTTTAATTATTACTTCCGTTTTCTTATAATTCAAGGAAAGTCCTTTCTTAGCACTCTCTATTCCCACAATATCCAACAGTTGTTGTATATCAGTTGCGTTTTCAGTAAACAAAACTGTATTGTCTGCATAACGAAAATTGTTTTTATTGTATCCTCCAACTCTTAATCCTGCATTCTCTTTAATTTCTTCAGAATTAATTCACTATATAGACAGAAAAAAATCTGTGGAAAAAACACATCCCTGTCTCACTCCTTGCTTTAGCTGTTCAAAAGTACCCAATCTGTTTCCCACTTTAATTGCTGCTACTTGGTTCTAGTGAATGTCTTTAATTATTCTGAGATCTTTCCCGTCTATATTGATGTCTTTTAACATTTTCATCATCTCTTCATGTTTAACTTTGTCAAATAATTTAGCATAATCTATAAAGCACAAAAATAAGTCCTTTTGTATGTCCATTGATCTTTCTATGAGTGTTCGTAATATGTATATTGCATTACTTGTTCCTTTACCTTCCATAAATCCATACTGCTCTTCACTCATTTCCATTTGTTTTCTTGTTCTTCTCGTTTAAATTCTAAGTAGTAATTTGGGAACATGATATAGTAAGTTGATTGTACGAAATTCTTCACATTCAATTGCTCCTGTCTTTTGGATAACGCAATAAATACAGATTTCATCATATCACTTGGTATTAGGGCTGAACCGAATATTACCTTCGTATTCGCTTCGGAGCCGAATAGTGGACCTAATAACTATTCGGTATTCGGCCGAATAGTTGCGGTCGGGCCGAATACGAATAGTGTACAGCACTACTACAAACAGGCAGTTTTAACATATGGCTGTAAGTCCTGGACAATCGTTAGGCAGGCCAAACAATTTCTTGAGGCCTCAGAGTTGTGGTTTTACAGTGCAATGTTTAAAATACCTAGGACAGCAAATAAAAAAAAATAAAAAAACAATTAAGAGGTTTTGATAGAAACGGGAGCCCGAATACAACTACTCACAGACATCAGAAGGAGACAGTCATCATTTTCGGCCATTGTTATAAGATGAGGGAAAATGGAACATGCGGTGACCACTGGAAAGATGTTTGGAAGGAGGGATAGAGGAAGACAACAAGAGAAGATTCTTGACAGTCTTGGTGCATGGCATGAAGGTGTGTAAGCACACGAAATAATACATGCTGCAGGAGATCGCAGATTGTGGCGAGGCATAATTGTCCATGCCAGTCGGGAAAGCTCCTGATGATGATGATTCACTATTCGTATTCGGCCGAATAGTTGGTCCAGCTATTCGTATTTGTCCGAATAGGGAATATCACCATTCGGTACAGCCATACTGAACACAAAAGGCATCAGTTCATGAGCTAACACTTCTCTATGCCATGACAACAACAGGTATCAGTTTATGAGCTGAACACTCCTCAATGCTATGACCGCAACATGTATCAGTTTATGAGCTAACACTTCTCTATGCCATGACAACAACATGTATCAGTTCATGAGCTAACACTCCTCTATGCCATGACAACAACAGGTATCAGTTCATGAGCTAACACTCCTCTATACCATGACAAAAACATGTATCAGTTTATGAATTGACACCCCTCTATGCCTTGACAACAAAAGGTATCAGTTCATGAGCTGACACCCCGCTATGCCTTGACCACAACATATATAAGTTCATGAGCTGACACCCCTCTATGCCTTTACCAAAAAATGTTCTTATTCATGAGCTGACACCCCTCTATGCAATGAGAACAACAGGTATTAGTTCATGAGCTGTCACCCCTCTATGCCATGACAACAAAAGGCATCAGTTCATAAGCTGACACCCCTTTATGAAATTATCATAAAAATTATCAGTTCATAAGCTGACACCCCTCTATGCTAAGATAAATAGTTGCATCAGATCCTGAGTAGACACCCCTCTATGCAATGACAACAACATGTATCAGTTTATGAGCTGACACCCCTCTAAGCCATTAGAACAACACGTATAAGGTAGTGGGCTGACACCCCTCTATGCAACGACAACATATATCAGTTCATGAGCTGAACTCTCCTCTATGCTATGACCGCTACATTTATCAGTTCTTGAGCTGACACGTCTCTAGCCAAGACGAAAAGTTGCATTAGATCACGACAACTAAAGGTATCAGTTCATAAGCTGACACCCTACTATGCTAAGTTAAAAATTTGCATCAGATCATGAGCTGACACCCCTCTATGCAATGACAAAACCATGTATCAGTTTATGAGCTGACACCCCTCTAAGCCATTACAATAACATGTATAATTTTATGTGCTGACACCCCTCTATGCCATGAGAACAACAGGTATAAGGTAGTGGGCTGACACCCCTCTATGCCACGACAAAGAGTTTTATTAATTCATGAGCTGACACATCTCTAGCCAAGACGTAAAGTTGCATTAGATCACGAGCTGACAGCCCTGTATGCCAGGACAACAAAAAGTAGCTGACACCCCTCTTTGCCATGACCACAACATGTATCAATTCATGAGCGGAACACCCCTCTTTGCCGTGACCATAACATGTATCAATTCATGAGCTGAAAACTCCACTTTGCCATGATCATAACATGTATCCCGTTATGAGCTGAAAACTCCTCTTTGCCGTGACCACAATATGTATCAGTTCATGAGCTGACACCCCTCTATGCCATGACAACAATAGGTATCAGTTCATAAGCTGACACCTCTCTATGCTAAGATAACAAGTTGCATCAGATCATGAGCTGACAGCCCTCTATGCAATGACAACAACATGTATTAGTTCATGA